TTAAAACATAAATCTAGAATCCTTTACTTATTTGGAAGTGCCTTTCAAACACAAAGAATAAATAACTTTCTCAAACACAAAAGGTAAAAGAATTCATCACCAGCAGATCTGCACTAAAAAAATGATAACAGTTGTCCTTCAGACAAAAGGAAAATTACAGATAGAATTCGAAAGAATGAATGGAAAACAAAAGTGCGCTAGAAATGGTAAATATACAGATAATACAAGACTTTTTAAAAATGAATATAAAACATGATTTACTGTTTAAACCAAAATTAATAACTGACTGTGGGGTTTATAATATATATAAAAATAAAATATATGACAAAATATAGTACGAAGACCAGGAGAGAGGAAATGGAAGTATATTATTTTAAGATTTCTATAATACAGATAAGGCTATTACTTGAAGGTACAATGTAAATTATACTAAAAACCCAAAAGCATCCATTAAGGAAAAAAGCAAAAACTTATCTATGATAAACCCACAAACCAAATAACATGGGATCAAGAAAAATACCCAATCTAAAATCACATAAATCGTATTGTCTGACCACAATGCAATTCAACTAGAATTCAATTACCAAAATATTTGACAAAGTAGCAATACCCAACAAACACACACACACACACACACATAACCATCAAACAACTATCAGATCAGCAGTAATTATAAGAGAAAATACCAGGTGTGCATATAGTACAAACCCACAAAAGTACAATCTAGCAATATCTGATAAGTTAAAATGTGCATGTAAACTCTATAAACAGTAACTTCATTCCTTATCACTAAGTGTATATACAAGAGCACAAGGAGACATGTATAACAACATTAAATGCGGCATAGGCACAGCTAAGAATTAGGAAGAACATAAATGTCCGTTATAAGGGAATAGATAAGTTTATGCAATGGATTATCATACATTAGTTAAAACAAACTAGATCTATATATTTACCAACACGAACATCAAAATGTAAACAAAGGCTTATGTCAAAAGGATAACTACAATAGGAAGCTTTTTATATAAACATCTTTCCATTTTTAAATTTTATTTATTTATCCATTTGAGAGAGAAAGAGAGAGAGTGATCAAGTACTCACAGGAGCACACAAGTGACAGAGGGAGAGAATCCTAAGCAGGGTCCATGCCTGGCACAGAGCCCAGTGCTGAGCGTGATCTCACAACCTCGAGATCACAACCCAAGCTGAAATCAAGAGCTGAATGCTCAACTGAGCCACCCAGACACGCTTTTTATGTAAACTTTTTCTTTTAAGATTTAATTGTTTTTAAGATTTTATTTATTCATTCATGAGAGACACAAAGAGAGACAGAGACATCCGCAAAGGGAGAAACAGGCCCCTTGCAGGGAGCCCAATGTAGGGCTCCATCCCAGGACCCCGGAATCACACTCTGAGCCAAAGGCAGATGCTCAACCCCTGAGCCACGCAGTCAACCCTTAACATCCCTTTACTCTCATTTACATAGCATTAAGGTAACAAGGTAACTGCATGTTTTCAACCTATCATAGAAGTCTTTATATCATTTATCACTATATGAAAATATTTATATGAAAAAAAAAAGAAAACTATGCTTTAAACCATAGGAGAGTCTTGACAACGATTCTTTAACATCTAAAGCACAAGCAACAAAATAAAAGACAAGTGGGACTACATTAAGCTAAAAATCTTCGGGGCACCTAAGGGGCAGAGGGAGAGAACCCCAAGCAGATTCCCATCTGAGTGCAGAGCTGAACATGGGGCTCAATCTCACAAACCCCAAGATCATGACCCAAGCTGAAATCAAGAGTCAGATGCTGGGAGACGCCTGGGTGGTTTAGCACTTGAGCGTCTGCCTTTGGCTCAGGGCATGATCCCAGAGACCCGGGACCAAGTCACTTATCAGGCTTCCTGCGCGGAGCCTGTTTCTACCTATACCTGTGTCTCTACCTCTCTGTGTGTCTCTCATGAATAAATAAATAAATAAATCTTTAAAAAAAAAAAAAGAGTCCTCAGATGCTTAACTGAGCCACCCAGGTGCATTTTGGCTTTAAAAAAAAAAAAAAAAAAAACAAAAACAAAACTGAGCATCTGAGTGGCTCACTCAGTTAAGCCTCCAAGTCTTGATCTCATCTCAGGTCTTGATCTCAGGGTCCTGAGTTCAAGCCCCACATTGGGTTCCACACCCATGGAGCCTACTTTTTCTTTTAAAAATTTGAAAATAGAAAGACCGTATTATCTAGTAATCCTACTTCTCAGTATTTATCAAAAAAACTGAATCAGCACACTGAAGAGACAATGAAATACTGTTCAGCCATAAGAATAAAGAAAATCTTGCCATTTGCAACAAATGTATGGACCTTGAGGACACTTTGCTAAAGTAAAATAAGTCAGACAGAGAAAAACAAGTACTATAACTGATCTCACTTACATGTGGAACCTTAAAACAAAACAAAATATACCAAACTCATACAGATCATATCTACAGTAACTAGAAACAGGCGGTTGGAGAAATTGGATGAAGGTGGTCAAAAGGCACAAACTTCCAGGTATATGATAAGTAGTATGGAGGATGTAATGTACAACATAATGACTAAAGTTAACACTACACTGTATATCTGAAAGTTGCTAAAAGAGTAAATCCTGGGCAGCCCGGGTGGCTGAACGGTTTAGCGCCGCCTTCAGCCTGAGTGTGATACTGGAGACCCAGGATGGAGTCTCATGTCAGGCTCCCTGTATGAAGCCTGCTTTCTCCCTATGCCTGTGTCTATGTCTCTCTCTCTCTCTTTGTGTCTCTCATGAATAAATAAATAAAATCTTAAAAAAAAAAAAAAAAGGAATAAGTCCTTATATTTTTCAATGCAAGGAAAAATATATTTTTTTCTTTTATCTATAAGAGATGATGGATGTTAACTAAAATTACTGCAGTAGGGCAGCCCGGGTGGCTCAGCACCCAGGCTGCTCACCGGGCTCAGCCCGGTGGTTTAGTGCCGCATTCAGCCCGGGGCATGATCCTAGAGACCTGGGATCGAGTCCCACATCGGGCTCCCTGCATGGAGCCTGCTTCTCCCTCTGCTTATGTCTCTGCCTCTCTCTCTGTATGTCTCTCTCATGAAAAAATAAATAAAATCTTTAAAAAATAAAATAAAATGACTGCAGTAATTACTGCATAATACATGTATATCAAGTCATTATGCTGTATACCTTAAGCTGATACAGTACTTTAGGTCAATTATATCTCAATAAAACTGAAAGAAAACACAAGTAGGGCAAGCCTGGGTGGCTCAGCGGTGTAGCGCCGCTTTTAGCCCAGGACTTGATCCTGACCCGGGTTCTCCATCTGCCTGTTCCTCTGCCTCTCTCTTTCTCTCTCTCTCTCAAATAAATAAAATCTTTAAAAAAAAAAAAATTAAAGGTAAACCCCCTCTCCCCCAAAAATATAGGAGAAATTCCCTCCAACTGTGCTCCACTCCCAGAATGGGAGAATCATTTTAGGAAGCACAACCTCAGCTACTCCCTTCTCCTACTAACAGATTCCCATTCTATCAGATGGAACCTAGATCTAAGCTATATTAATAAACCATCCACAGAATGTTTTTAAACTGAAATTGAAAAGTCCCTTTTCTTCTATCAAAAAACATAAACATAAATGAAGAAAGGGCAAATGACTACACTACTCACCATGTTATAATGATCTGAGAAAAGAAAATGAGACATGTTCCAAAAAAACAGACACGAGAAGCACCAAAGAAAGATCCAACAACATTCAAGTGCCTGATCTCATTTCCTTATACTCTCCAGAAAAGCTGGCTATGGTTCCAATCTTCCCAATATTTGGTTTTTAAACTCTTCATTTTCATGTATGTCAGCTACTCACTTCCTTATCCTATCAATAAATAACCTCTTTTTGTTTAAGCTAGATCAGGGGGATATTTGCTGATGCTAAGGTGTGAATTGCTACTAATGATCATACTCAATTCCTGACTAATACATGGAAATTCATTTTACACTGTTTATATTTATTTACATGAAATAAATGCAATTTTATATTTATTTACATTTCATTACATAAAACAAGATATGTTTAGTTCCAGTTCCTACCTTTCTAAACTCATTTATTTAAGTCATATGCTACAGCTGCCACCAATGGACACCTGCTAAAAGGATTTTATATAGATAAAAATAATCTCTATTTACTCTTCCAAATCTTATGAGTGAATGAATAAGGGAAGATATGGCAAGGAATGTATTCATTATAAGAAAAGTGACCAAGGGGATCCCTGAGTGGCTCAGCGGATGGGCGCCTGCCTTCAGCCCAGGGCATGATCCTGGAGACCCGGGATCGAGTCCCACATCAGGCTCCTTGCATGGAACCTGTTTCTCCCTCTGCCTGTGTCTCTGCCTGCCTCTCTCTCTCTCTCTCTCTCTCTCTCTCTCTCTGTCTCTCATGAATAAATAAATAAAATCTTAAAAAAAAAAAAAAGATGAAGAAGAAAAGTGACCAATACAATTGTTCCATATTAAAGTGAAACTGTATTTTCTCATGATCTTTCTTATCACTCAGTCTTTCTTAATATAAATTGGCCACTGCAAGTAACTTATAAGAAATTTGTCTTTCCGAGATGCCTGGGTGGCTCAGCGGTTGGGCGCCTGCCTTTGGCTCAGATCATGATCCCGGGATCCAGGATTGAGTCCTGCATCAGGCTCCCTGCGAGGAGCCTGCTTCTCCCTCTACCTATGTCTCTGCCTCTCTCTCTCAGTCTGTGTCTCTCATGAATAAACAAATAAATCTTTAAAAAACAAATAAACAGAAGAAGAAATTTGTCTTTTATTTGAAAAAGGGAAATCTGTTAGAAGTGATACCTTCCTCATGTTTTCTTACTGAATAAAACTGGATGTACTGAGTGACAGACACTACCCTATTATTTTAAAATATTTCTAGATCTTTTTCAATGCAATAAAGAACATCACTTAAAATGTTCTAAAATTCAACTGCCACTTACTGCTTCCAGTTGTTTCTTCTTCTGCACTAGTAATTCCAACATGAGGTTGACATTGGCCAAATCAAGGTTATCTTGGTCAGTTCCCAACAAATCCTGTAATATTTGCCACCTGTGGCCATTCTAAAAATGAAGAAACACAGTAACTTCCTAAGAAAATTATTTTAGAGCGCTTAAAATACATGTTTAATTGCTACTTCCTAATGTTTATTACATAGATACCAAAAACATGCTATAATATTCTAATCTACTCCTTCCCACCAGTGGTTCCCCACTGCCTTCTAATTATAAATTAAACACTATTTCTCCCTTAAACCAATATAGATAACAGATACAGAAGGCATATTCATGACAAATGTTAAGTGAGCACATCTAAAGGTGTAATTCCCTTCAAACCAAGTGCCTGGATTTTCATTATCTGTCTAGCCATACTTTCAACTTTGTACTTGGTAAAGTATTCATTTAGGCTCACTTCCCTCAACAATCTCTGATTTTTTTTATTCTCTTAAATTAAGAATCTTCCAACAGTTTTTCCAAATTACCAACCACAGCTCCACCCTGCTATATAATTCTCCAAATGTCATGTATCTCAAGCCATCTCTGACTCAATGTGATCCCAAAAGACATTTCAAAAGATGATCACTAAATTTTAGACAATGCAGTTAACAAAGTTCAAAACAGAAAAACCTTAAATTTTCTTTAAAAAAAATCAATGACATACTAAGCTTTAATATCTAATTAATATTAAACCAATAAAAACAACAAATTGAAATTTATTTAAAAATAGTAATAAGAGTTGAAACATACGGTGCTACTCACTGAGTGGTCTAATTTGAACCTCTTTTCCTCAAATCTTTGCTTCTGTTTGAGAATAAGCTCATTCACTGAAAAGAAAAAACAAAAAGTACATATAATTTGTATTGTTAAATGTATCATCTAGTTGTTCTGCTTAAATGGGTTCTATTTTCACTTTAAAAAGCCTCCAAATTAAAAAGATGCTAAGAACGGGGATCCCTGGGTGGCTTAGGGGTTTAGTGCCTGCCTTTGGCCTCCCTGCATGGAGCCTGATTGTCCCTCTGCCTGTGTCTCTGCCTCTCTCTCTCTCTCTGTCTCCCATGAATGAATGAATGAATGAATCTTAAAAAAAAAAGGATGCTAAGAAGAAAATTCTAGGTTTTCACTTTATTTCAAATTAAAACAATTTTGCCACAGCCTCTACTGCTACAACTGCTATTATTACTATCATTATTATTAAAGAAGAATTCTTTGGGGCAGCCGTGGTGGCTAAACGGTTTAGCGCCACCTTCAGCCCAGGGCATGATCCTGGGGTCCCGGGATCAAGTCCCATGTCGGGCTCCCTGTGTGGAGCCTGTTTCTCCCTCTGCCTGTGTGTCTCTGTCTGTCTCTGATGAATAAATAAATAAAATCTTTAAAAAAAAAAAAAGAAGAAGAAGAAGAAGAAGATGATGAATTCTTTGGAATACATGCTTTCTCATACACATCTCCATGATGATACTATCAGCATCTGGAGGAGATAATTCTCACTGTGTGAAACTGTCCCATCCTCCACATGTACCTGGTTGATTCTATAAGGTAGACACTAAGGATTTTTATTTGTTCTTCTTTTTGTTACTTTCCTATAAACATCATGGCAGATATTTACTTCTCCTGCTCATGCATGTTCTCTCTCTCTCTTTCTGATAGATAATAAAATCTTTAGAAAATATATCATGGTAGATACTGTCAGTTACCTATCCAAAGCCATCACCCCTCTTTTTTAAATAACATAATTATTTTCCAACTGTGAGACTGCCACATGCTTTCAGAAAAGCTAGGTTCTACCTCAGCCCAATGGTATGATTCTTGACTAACCTAAGCCAATCCAGGTATTCATACTCTTGCCAATAATTGACATGGGATTAAGCATGTGGCCTAGTTGTAACCAATGAAGGGTATGCTGTCTTTCACAAAAAGAAGTGGATAGAAAGAAAACACAAGTTCTCTCCCTCCCTTCATTAAGAGATGATACCTGGAACTGCTTAGAGCCATCCTGAAATCTTGGGGCGGGGGTTAGCTAGTCAAAGAACCAATGCATATGCTGGGATGGAGGAACAAAAAGATGGAAAGAACTTGATCCTATCACCAAACCACTAAATTAATCAATTCTACAAATTCTTTTCTTCTTCTTCTTCTTTTTTTTAATTTATTCTTGGGAGACACAGAGAGAGAGAGAGAGAGAGAGAGAGAGAGAGAGAGAGGCAGAGACACAGGCAGAGGGAGAAGCAGGCTCCATGCAGGAAGCCCCACGTGGGACTCAATCCCGGGACTCCAGGATCACGCCCTGGGCCAAAGGCGACGCTAAACCACTGAGCCACCCGGGCTGCCCCTTTTCTTTTATCTTTAATGACTAACTGGTAACAACAAACAAAAACAACAGAAAATCTAATAAAGGAAAAGAAAGTAGTACTAAGCCAGTTTAGCACTAGCCTAGCACTTTACAGACATTATCTTATGGGTTCTTCTCCCCATTTTAGTAATGAGGGACTATTAAAGGGAGCATCAGGAACTTACCTCATGGTGACATACAATACAAAACAGAGTTGGGATACAAACCCAACTATCTAATAATTTCCACTATACCACAATCCAACTATAAATAATTCTTACCAAACCAGAGAAGTATTAAACCCACACTAGAAATCCAAGCTTCAAAAATAAATAAGACTCAATCTAAGTAAGACTCAATCTAAAGCTCAAGCAACTCTGAATAGAAGACAAATGTATATGATGCAGTAGTTATAATGTGATAATCAGTACTATCATTGAAGGGGACTTAGAAAAAACATACAACAAAGAACAATTAGAGTGTAAATGAGCAGGCTATACATAGAAGGTGACATTAGAATTGGGCCATAAGTGCTTGCTTCAGCAGCACATATACTAAAAATTAGAATTGGGCCATAACATGCACACAGAGATTCATTACAAAGTGGAAAAGAATTCAGAGAAGAGTGTGAGAAAGAGGGGTTCAAGTCATATAAGACCAAGAGGTAAGGTGACTTTAAATCAATATGGCTGAAACACGGGGTCAAAAGTGATTTTGTTAATGATTAACAGGCTATGAACTAAGGCTAGAAATGAAAATAGGTGGAAGCCTGATTCTGAAGAGCCTGGTATGTATCTCATAAGCAAACTTACTAATATAACCCAGGGAAGAGAAAGGAGAGCTTGAAACAATATAGTGGGAATAAAGAGAAGTACATGAATAAGAGTTTAATATTTCAGTTACAGAATTAACCATTTGAATAAAAACTGTGACTTAAATTTTAATACTTTACAAGTGTATACCACATTGCATTTTACTGAGAAATCTTGTATATCATTGAACTTGAAAGATATTCTATATCCATAATTATAAGTCTCTGGATCCTGGCCACAGTACTAAGAATAAACAATGCATTTCTAATGCTAAAGCTTCCATTCTAGCAACTATCTTTAAATAAATTTTTTTTAAAAAAGCACATATACTCATGAGACAGACTACGTAGGTCCAAATCCCAATTCTACTACTACTGAGTGTGTAACTTTATACAAGTAACCCAACTTCTCTGTGCCTTAGTTTCCTCACCTGAAGAATGAGGATGCTACTGACAGTACCTGTCTCATAGGACTGAAAATGAAATGAGTTAGCTTACAGGAAGCACTTAGGACACTGCCTGCCAGTAGTAAGGTTGTTACATGCTATATTTACTTTTTTTGTTTTTGTATTTACTTTTTAAACTCAGTATTTTAAAGTAAGTATTTTAAACTTAGCATTCACATTGTCCCTTCAAAGGATAATGTCATTCATAAGGGAGATAAAATTCAATTCACAAAATTTTTATATAGACAGGGAAAGTTGGAAAAGAGAGCGAGGAAGAGAGATAAAGGCAGGCAGCTGAAGAGAGCTTTCACACAGGAAGGGATAGGGAGAGTTAGAGGGCAAGTCTTGGCAGGAACAAAGGAGAGCAAATGCAGGGATGGGGATAGGGGTGTGGGACAGTAAGACTTCATCTTGCAAAAGGCTTCTAGTAACTGGTAAAAGAAACAGAGCTCTCAAGACCAAGTAGGATGGAAAGAACAGAAATGTGTTGGATGACCAAGGGTCCTAGAGGGGACTGAAACAATGCCATGGAAGGTAGAAGAGGTGGGGGAAGGTATTCGGTAAGAAAAGGGTCTGTGATATATAGTGTTTGGGGCAGGAAAGGAAAAATCAAAGTACTTGGTTGACAAAAAAAGTATGTAATTATAATGACTAGAAAATCAAATCGTTTTTGAGTGCTTGCCTTCCAATTATTTGCTTTCATTAAAATTAAAGAAACAATTTCATTGTTAACTAATTGAACATTAAGATTGTCTTTGATGAGGGGTCTAGGTCCGGGCAGCTGAAGAGTGTGGTCAGCAAGATGAACATAGATGAGCAGCTGAGAGCAGCAATTAACCAAAAGTTGATAGAAACTGGAGAAAGAGAATGCCTCAAAGAGTTGCTGAGAGCTAAATTAACTGAATGTGGCTGGAAGGACCAGTTGAAGGCACACTGTAAAAAGGTAATTAAAGAAAAAGGACTAGAACACGTTACTGTTGATGACTTGGTGGCTGAAATCACACCAAAAGGCAGAGCCCTGGTACCTGACAGTGTAAAGAAGGAGCTCCCACAAGGAATAAGAACATTCCTTGCTCAGCATGCCAGCCTTTAAGATTGAATTAGATTGTGTTGTTTTGTGGTTTTATTTCTGAAAATAAAACTTGCCATAAATTAGGAATCAATTTCCCAAAATAAAATCCTTTTTTGTATGATGGTATACAGTTTTCAGTAATGATGTATACATTGTATTGATTTTTTCCCTAAATGTGTTATTTTAATAAATATCTCATGAATGAGAGAAAAAAAAGATTGTCTTTGATGATAAATCAATAAATGCCTTTTTTCTTAATTTAAGTCAGAACGAGGCAAAAAAAAAAAACTGAGTGAGATTACTGTTAACAAAATTCCTTCAATCTCCATCAACAAAGTTTCTCAAGAAGACTTACAGTTAAAAAAGGAAAATCTTTAAAAAAAAAAAAGAAAAAGAAAAATTTTAAACTTACAGAATGTTGTATTTCAATTATATTTCAATTTTTTAAAAACAGAGGAGCCGGGCAGGCTGGGCGACTCAGCGGTTTAGCGCCACCTTCAGCCCAGGGGGACCCTGGACCCAGCCCCACATCAGGCTCCCTGCATGGAATGGAGACTGCTTCTCCCTCTGCCTGTGTCTCTGCCTCTCTCTCTGTGTCTCTCATGAATAAATAAAATCTTTTTAAAAAATAAATAAAAATAAAAAATAAAAACTGAGGATCCTAAATAAATGAATGAACAAATAATTAAAAGAATACAAATGAAAGTGATTCCTTCTCCTAGTAATAACCACTAGGAGTACTAGAACTAATCAAGAAAAGCACCAAAACTGATAAGTAGCACATTTTCAATAAAAATTTATGTCTAATACTTTATAAAATTTGTAAATATTTGATCAATTGCATACTAACTCAGTAATAACCCAGAAAAAAATATTTGAGATTTTTAAATGCTTAATAATGTTACAAAAGTTAAAACATTTCTATGTCTATAGCTTCTATTTACATAAATTTCTGTTACAGAATAGTATTACAGATAGATCAATAAGGATTTCAAGCATAAAAACACATTATATATGGATAAAATTATGTGGACGATAATGCAATTTAAGTAAAAATTCAAAGAGAAAACGAGTGCATAAAATCTCCCATTGTTAATGAAAGGTGTCTATTTTCAAATCAATGATAAATATCAAATCACTTTGATATTTAGATTCCACTGGATACATTTTAAAAAGAGATAAAAGCTTTATTTTTAAATAACCAGATTTAAAATACTCCTAAAGTTACATCCTTTAAAACCATTTAAACTTATAAAGAAAATTTGAGGATGATCATTTTATTGTTTTTAAAGATTTTATTTATTTATTAGAGACAGAGAGAGAGGGGCAGAGACACAGGCAGAGAGAAGCAGGCTCCATGCAGGGAGCCTGACGTGGGACTTGATCCTGGGTCTCCAGGATCACGCCCTGGGCTGAAAGCGGCGCTAAACCACTAAGCCACTGGGGCTGCCCAGAGGATGATCATTTTAAATGAGGGATCAATGTGTGAGGAAGAAAATCATTTTTCAGAATTTTTATATGAGTCATCCAAGCAAAAAGTTTTGAAGAAAACTGCTACATAAAATGTATATAGTTCATCCTTCATCCATGACAGGGTCCTAACCTATCAATTAAAAAAAAGTGCAAAGCTATCTAATGCCTTCAAAATTGTAAAACATATACTTGTTTTACCATGCTCAAGAAGAAATCTAAAATTATTTCAAAAGGTTCAAGTCCTAATCCCAACCAAGAATGATAGGCACTACACAAATAAATCATGTAATCTCAAGCTGAAGCAATGGAAATAAGTTAGAACTAGTTAGAAATAAGTTAGAAGTTTTTTTTTCCCCCTTTCAGTAAAGGGGGAAAAAAGTAAAATTCATTGTTCAGTAACAGATCTCAAGGGCATCCTGAATGCACAGGATACATATTAAGTCCCTAACTACCTAATGTGGGAACTTATGAATTTGACTAATATTGTACAAATGGTAAAGACTGGAATGGATGATGGGCAGAAAAACAGGAAAAGATGTATCAGGATAAAATGTTATTTCCATGGCTGACATACATAATCACATTAAGAAGCAGCACTCTAAGAGACTTCAAATATGGACATAAAATACTTACACTCCACTCATCCAAAACCAAAATTTTTAACCATAAAAAGAGAATGTTAAAAAACTAGATCATCATCAAGATAATTTCTAGCTCAGAAATCAGTAAGGTATGACTGTGCTATTTACTGGATATATATGAGAATACATACTTAATGTATAAAATCACCTTCTAACAAAAACAGTACTTTTAAAACTCCTTCCATACTAATATATAGTGTTCCCTCGAGTTAGAAATTCAGATTAAAGAATCTCCAACTTTTGGATTCATTAGGGAATGTTGCCTGGAAATTTTATTTAACACAAAAATTGTCAGAAGATTAGATTCCTTTCTGTATTTAGCCATTCCAAAAGAAGTTTTCCAATGTTACAACTGATAGAAAAATGATTCTAGGGTCTGCTCAGCAGCATCAATCCATGTTTCCAAGTTCACGGACAAAGGTTTCTGCTTTGCCAGACTTTTCATTTCCCTTATACCCATAAAGTCCAGTCCTACAGAGTTATCTATCACACCACTCAAATATTTCTTCTTTCCCTAAATTCTACTCCAAGTCCTTACTTTTCAATTGCCTGCCCCCAGGTCACAGAGGCTCTTCGCCTATTCAGGAATCCAATTACCCCCAGGGTTTTTTTTTTACGCCCCCCCTTCCCCCTTTCCATTAACACTTTCCTCCTTTGACTCCCTTACACCCCAGAAGCACAACCAGCAGGAATGCACCACACTGTATAAAGACAGAGGTATTCTGAACTCTGGCATTCTGTAGTCTCACATCCTGTCCAGCCACCTGTACAAGAAACTAAGAGTTGTGTCAGTCGATTTTTCTCCTTTCATGAAACTTAAAATAACATAATATAGTACTAACATTACATGGTATGGAAATTCTGTCACAAAGTAATGAAGACTGGGGAAAGCACCCAGGTGAGTAGGAAAGAAAGATTTGCTTTACCCCTACATGGTTTTCCAAATAAATCAGTGCCACCACACACTTTTGGAGATAGGATATTTTAAAAAATAAAGAATCATTCCAAAGACTCACCCAAGAAATTAGGATACAGATGGTCAATATTATCCACAACATAGTTACACTTGGGACATCTATTATTATCCTCCAAACTCTGATGAATACACTTGTAGCTATTAGCAGAAAAAAAATAAAATAAGGTTCATTAAACCAGTGAAGAATTAATAAAGTCACAAAATAATGCCTATTAGATTTCTAGTTCTCATTTAAAACAAGTACTTCGCTATTGAATTTATTTCAATATATTTTATAATAAAGTTACATAGAGCATTTATTAGATAACAGTATGCAGAATATTTAAAAATAAACTTGCATAACAATTCTACTAGATACAGAATATTTAAAAAAATGTACTTCTAAGTTTACACAATTTAAGTACTACATAGCACCCAAGAAAAGCAAATGCCTATGATTTAATTAAGCAAATAGACTATGTTCTTGATGATACCCTTAATACAAAAAAACATTCAAATAAAAAAAGAAAAGAGCACAGAAAAATCAACAACACAGTCAATGAGCATGAGAAAATCATCACCTTCAGTAGGATAAAAATAATTGGTTTTAAACTATATACTAGTTTTTACCAAACAGAATGGAAAATTTAAGAAAATACAATCACGTGTTAATGAGCACATGTCAGTATAAACAACTTCATTTATTGGTGAAGGATATGTAACTGCCACAGCCTTTCCAGGAGGCAAATTGTATAGAAAACCTTAAAACTGTATAAAACCCTTTGATGTAATTTTCTTTCTAGGAATTTATCCTAAGGAAATGAACAGAGGTATGTAGATAGAAAGGTGTTCAATTCAATTATTATCTGTAAATAGCAAAATAAATTAGAAGCACCAAAACACTTGGACATTGAACAATTTTGTAAACACCAATCCAATACAACATATACCAAAAAATAATCATACTGTAATACGTAACTATATGCCATGAAAACTAATAACTATAAGCAGTTATAGCTAAAGAAAGGGAATTACAAGAAAGTTTTCCTTCCTTACAATATACATATTAATGTTTGAGTTTTTACAATTACATACTTGTTTATAATTAAAAAAAAAAAACTTTTGGGATCCCTGGGTGGCGCAGCGGTTTGGCGCCTGCCTTTGGCCCAGGGCGCGATCCTGGAGACCCGGGATCGAATCCCACGTCGGGCTCCCGGTGGATGGAGTCTGCTTCTCCCTCTGCCTGTGTCTCTGCCTCTCTCTCTCTCTGTGACTATCATAAATAAATAAAGAAAAAAAATATTTAAAAAAAAAAAAACTTTTTAAATATTGCTCCATCAGGGATGGTTGGTCATCTGCCTTTGGCTCAGGGCATAATCCTGGAGTTCTGGGATTGAGTCCCACACCAGGCTCCCTGCATGGAGCCTACTTCTCCCTCTATCCGTGTCTCTGCCTCTCTCTCTCTTTCTCATGAATAAACAAAATCTTTAAAATACATATATATATATACAGTTCCATTAAACCACAGAGAAATATCAAATTGACATTAGAAAAAAGTCACCGTATCACTTATTTATTTATTTTTGTATCACTTTTTACAGACTAAAAAGGAAAATCTCAAACACAGCGGATACAGCACAATCTCGTTACTGTTTTTAAAAAATTGCATATGTGTACATTTAAAATAAACCAAAAAAGACATTCATCATAATGTTAACAGTGTATTTCTCTGGGTCATAAAATTTATGGGAAACTTTTTCTTTGTAGATATCTACAAGTTTCTATACTAAAAACACACTGCGGGCAGCCCCGGTGGTGCAGCGGTTTGGTGCCGCCTGCAGCCTGGGGTGTGATCCTGGAGACCTGGGATCGAGTCCCACACTGGGCTCCCTGGATGGAGCCTGCTTCTCCCTCTCCCTCTGCCTATGTCTCTGCCTCTCTCTCTCTGTGTCTATGAATAAATAAATAAAATCTTTAAAAAAATAAAAAATAAAAACTCATTGCTCAGGACTCCCGGGTGGCTCAGATGGTTAAGCATCTGCCTTCAGCTCCCATCTCTCAGCATCCTGGGACAAAGCCCCAGGTCAGGCTCCCTGCTCAGCAGGGAGTCTGCTTCTCACTCTCTCTGCCCCTCCTGTTTTTGCTCCATTCTTGTTCTCTCTCAAATGAATTAAAAAAAAAAATCACTGTTACTAACAACAGAAAAAAAATATTTCTAAGAAATTACAAGGCTGATTTATAAAGAAGATACCTAAAAAGATAGCATCTTTTATTCTGTATCCAAATTACTATAAATCTGGGACACCTGGGTGGCTCAGCGGTTGACGCCTGCCTTTGGTCCAAGGTGTAATTCTGGAGTCCCTGGATCAAGTCCCACATCAAGTCCCTGCATGGAGCCTGCTTCTCTCTCTGCCTATGTCTCTGCCCCTCTCTCTCTCTCTCTCTCTCTCTCTCATGAATAAATAAAATCTTTTTTAAAAAATTACTATAAATTTATTTCAGCTTTATAAACTGAAGCTAATTTTTATGAGCCACTTTCTTCATTCTACCTTATCAAAACAGAAACCTTCATCCATCAGGTTTCTCTGTACTAATTATCAACTACTTTCTCATCTCACATTTGGTACTTTCAAGCAATGATAGAAAACTGATGTAGTGATGGGTCTTTGGCACAGCACAAGGATCTAAAGATCAGAGTAAATGTCTGGCACATAACAGTTTATTTATAAATATATATAACATATATAAATATATAAAACAAATGACTTGTACAGTGTTCCAGAAATAATAACATCACCTGTTGCAATTATGACAAGGCTACGATTACCATATTACCACAAGATAGGCTCCATATCTAACAGAAAATTTCCTACATAGACATTTCTTTTTTTTTTCTACATAGACATTTCAATGAAGGAAATAATATACAAATTTTTTTTCATTTTTATTGCAAGGGAGAAACATAAAGCAGGTATGCAATTACATCATGGAAACACAGTCTGCTTAGGGGAAATGGAAATGAGTTCCTATTACTAAAAAATGTTCCCACATGACAAGATTTAGCCTTTAAAAAAATCTGCAAGTTCTGGGCAGCCTGGATGGCTCAGTGGTTTGGCACCGCCTTCAGCCCAGGGCGTGATCCTGGAGACCCACGATCTAGTCCCAATCTGGCTCCCTGCATGGAGCCTGCTTCTCCCTCTTCCTGTGTCTCTGCCTCTCTCTGTGTGTCTCTCATGAATAAATAAATAAAATCTTAAAAAAAAAAAAAAACTAACTTGTTTAAAAAAATAATTAAAAAATTAAAAAAATCTGCAAGTTCAAATAAACCAAATCATGAAGTAGAGAATCGGGGGCTGTTATGAAAGATGAGAGAAGGGGTTAACAGATAAGCAGAAGGACATTTGAAATCTTAGCAAATGACTTTTATAAAGAAATGACTGTTAGAAATGAACAAATAATATGACAAGGAGAACAAGCTAAGTCATTAACCCAGTGAAAGAGTTTGTCAACAGACAAGAAATTATCCGAGAGCCCAGTAGAATATCCTCCTCTATTTATAGCATCCTAATCATCCTTCAGCATCCTAATTCCTTGTCATTAAATTTACTACCACACCATCCACTCCTAGAAGAGAAAATAGTCTAGGACACAGCCAGAAGGACCTGTCCTCAGGAATAAAAGTTCAAGTGACTTTTCCATATTGCATTGACAATATCCATCTACATTATAAAATGAAAATGCATCAAATTACATACTGTGTAAAACTGACATGACAATAAGATATATCTCACTACCATCCCAAAGCAGACCTGCCCTGGTTTGAGAAATTGTAACTATCTCATTTTGTATTTATCTGTGTATGTGTCTATCATCTCCTCTTCTATTTGTTCATTCAAAGCAAGGCTTTGTTTTAATTCATCTCTGTACCCTCAATGTCTAGCACGATATCCCATTAGAGTTTAACTAAATAAATGTTGAATGCATGAAGAAATATAGACAAAAAAGAAACATGCTGTCTTCTGGGTCATATAACCATTAGAAATTCTCAATCATTTCTTTCACAGTAACTCAATAGAATTACCATCACCCCACCTGAGATGTGGTATTTTGTATACCAAAAGAAGGATAAGAAGACTAGTGATCAAAATAGGGGGGATAAAAGGATATCTATCTTGGGTCTACCTGAGAAGTTTTCAAAAGCTACTCACACTGAAACTCTTAAAATAGTAATTCCAGGGATGCCTAGGTGGCTCAGTGGTTGAACACCTGCCTTTGGCTCAGGACATAATCCTGCAGTCTCGGGAGGGACTCCATCGTGTCCCACATTGGGCTCCCTGCATGGAGCCTGCTTCTCCCTCTGCCTATTATGTCTCTGCCTTCTGTGTCTCTCATGAGTAAATAAAATCTTAAAAAAAAAAAAAAAAGGAAAGAAAGAAAGAAAACTGAATAATCAGAAAATTCTCAAAAAAGGGGACTGTAACAAGAACTGGAAGGACAAATCTATACCAATGGTCCTACATAATAACCAGGAATAAAGAAAGACTAATAGCAAGGTACAAGATGATGAATTAGAAGTCCCAAAAGACAAGCTGATATCCAAAAGACAGCTATCTGTCTGACTGCAGATAGTTGGAAGATGGACAACACCGAGGAGTGCTATTAATTATAATTAATTTGTAATGAAACAGAATAGTAACTCAGAACTTGGTAGACATGAGGTCTGAGAAGCAAGGTGTGTGGTGCAAGCTGGAGGCTGCAAAGAGAAAGACCAAACCTTACATCTACATCACAAAAAAGCCAGTTTTTTTAGATTTTATCATATCACTAAGTTTGGTTAGACAAAAGCTAACTGCAGACTCAGTCTCAAGTGGGAATAGTGTCTCCACCCTGTTAAAAATTAAGAGTTACCATTTATAAGTGAGATAGAGATAAACAGTTCTGATTAGTGTTAATAATCTGGATGGACCCTGGAAGTGATAACACTGCTCAATTCCAGTTTACCAGCCAGTGTTCAAGTCAGTGAAGATCTAATCCAAGAGGCTACCATTAACGACTGAAGTTACACCAGCCCCACATGATAGGACAGGGTAAATAATTATGAGCTTTTCTTTTAAAGTACAAAATGTCTCATGGTTTCACAAGCCTGACATAGGACTGCCAGTCTCCAAGTTTTTGTTTTTGTTTTTTTTTAATTTTTATTTATTTATGATAGTCACACGGGGGGGGGGGGGGGCGGAGACACAGGCTGAGGGAGAAGCAGGCTCCTTGCACCGGGAGCCCAATGTGGGATTCGATCCTGGGTCTCCAGGATCGCGCCCTGGGCCAAAGGCAGGCACTAAACCGCTGCGCCACCCAGGGATCCCCAGTCTCCAAGTTTATTAGCTCCCGTCAACCTATGGTCTCCATCCTACCAAAACCTGCTCTCTGGAAGATATCTTAAAACACATTTATCTGGGTGGCTCAGTCAATTAAGTGTCTGCCTTCAGCTCAGGTCATGATCCCAGGGTCCTGGGATTAAGCCCTACATCGGAATCCCTGCTCAGTGAGGAGACTGCTTTGCTTCTCCCTCTCTCTCTGCCTGCAGCTCCCCCTGCTTGTGCTTTCTGTCACATAAATAAATAAAATCTTTTAAATACATAAGTAAATAAAACACATTCATATCAGCTTATAACATGAATTATAACAAGGGTCTAAACAAACTATTTTCATTTGAAGGGAAAAAACAGTTATTTAAGAAACCAGTAGGGTTTTCCAACAAAGACCTAAGGACACACCATGAAGACTATAGGACTCATTGAAAAGGCCAGGCCTATTGAATTATAAAGTCAATCAATAATTTATTACACTTCACAATACAGTGAAGCAAGAATATTATACTGATTTAGGAGACTCTTCCACATCCTTTTAAAATGTCACAGTGAGGGATCCCTGGGTGGCGCAGTGGTTTGGCGCCTGCCTTTGACCCAGGGCGCGATCCTGGAGACCCGGGATCGAATCCCACGTCAGGCTCCCGGTGCATGGAGCCTGCTTCTCCCTCTGCCTATGTCTCTGCCTCTCTCTCTCTCCCTGTGTGACTATCATAAATAAATAAAAATTTAAAAAAAATGTCACAGTGAAATTTAAATTAAAGGAGGGGAGTTAGAAAAAATTAGTTCCTCACTTTATAATTTGTACCAAACATTTACACCTTTAAAACTATGAAAGAGGTGGTGAAGGAACAGGAAGAGAGAAGAGAAAAGGGAGGAGGGAAGAGAAAAAGGAGGAGGAGAGACTAGCTGAAGGACTAGACAAATGTAAAGTTTTAGGGCCAGAACCAGAATCCTGATTTATCTTCAAGACCCTGCTCTTTTAGCTCCCTAATCAGTATTTTTCAAATGTGGGCAATTTTGTCCCCTACTGGATATCTGGCAATGTCTGAAGACAGGGCAGCCTGGGTGGCTCAGCGGTTTAGTGCTGCCTTCAGCCCAGGGCATGATCCTGGAGACCCGGGATAGAGTCCCATGTTGGGCTCCCTGCATGGAGACTGCTTCTCCCTCTGCCTGTGTCTCTGCCTCTCTCTCTGCCTCTCTCTCTCTCTCTCTCTCTCTCTCTCTCTCTCTCTCTCGATCTGTCTCTCTCTGTGTATCATGAATAAAAATCTTAAAAAAAAAATAGAAACCTTTAAAGAAAATGTCTGGAGACATTTTTGGTTGTCGTATTTGTGAGGAAAGGGGCTGCTACTGGGTAGAGGCCAGGGATATTGCTAAACAATCTACGATATCCAGGATAATCACCCACAACAAAGAATTATCTGGTCCAATATTCAATACAACCAAAGGCTTATAGAGCCTAATCTAAATCACCCAATTTTCCAGAGATGAAAATCAAAATCTCTAAGGAAGGGACATGATTTCCTATGGAACGCTATCAACTGGATCAATTAATGGACCCAAGGAAACACTACTGTTAAACCATCAGCCTAAGATCAAGACCATACATGTATCAATCTAAAAGCAAGACACACATGACCAGAATTTCAGGAGCAATATGGAGCAGAAAGTGATTTATGAACTATAAGGATATAATGCAATGATATATCAGGAAATCAAAATTATGAAACCAGCAAAAAAAATTCTGAAAGAATACACCATCACTCCTTGCCAGTGATAACATCTAAGGAAGTAGACAAAAAAGACTAGAAAAATGGTGACATATACTTTTCATGTTACAACTTTCTGAACAATAAGTTGTTTTTTAGCAAAGAGTACATATTACTTATTGTAATAACTTATATTTTTCTTTTTTTTATATTCTTTTTTTTTCTTTATTCATGATAGTCACACAGAGAGAGAGAAAGAGAGAGGCAGAGACACAGGCAGAGGGAGAAGCAGGCTCCATGCACCGGGAGCCCGACGTGGGATTCGATCCCGGGTCTCCAGGATCACGCCCTGGGCCAAAGGCAGGCGCCAAACCGCTGCGCCACCCAGGGATCCCTAATAACTTATATTTTAATAAAAAACATAGTGCAAGCTAAAGCCATTTTTATTCTAAACTTTTTCTCAAGTGACTAGCAGATTGGATATACCTATCACTGATGTGTCATGCTCCAAATCAAACTAAAATACTTACAAACTGGTAATAATACCCAGTACTTGACTAGTGAATATCAATACCGGATATTATATTCAACTTCAGAATAAAATTATGGGTCTAACTTCAATATGAATTAGAATACAGGGACTATTAGAACACAACAGAAATACTAAGCCAAAAATACTGTATCAACAGTGTATAAATAATTTATGGACATGATTGACTGCAAATATAATATGCCACTCCCAAAAAAAACACAAAAATAAATAAAAGGAATTAAACACAGATTACACAACCATTAGGGTGGCTACCATTAAAAAAAAGAAAAACAAAAAAGAAAGAAAATGACAAGTGTTGGAGAAGATGTGCAAAAACTGGAACTCTTGTGTACTTCTGGGAGAAACGTAAAATGGTACAGCAACTACAGAAAACAATATGTAGATTCCTCAAAATATTAAATATAGAACTACCGTATGAAATAGCCATTCTGCTTCTGAGTATATATCCAAAAGAACTGAAACCAGGATCTCAAGAAGGTATTTATACATCAATGTTCAAAGCATCATTCTTAACAAATGAACAGATAAATGAACAAATAAAATAGAGTTTACATACATGCAATGAAACACTATTCAGCCTTAAAAAGGAAGGAAACTTTGACATATGCTACAAGGATGAAACTTAAGGACCTTATGCTAAGCAAATTAGGCCAGTCACAAAAATACAAATACTATTTGATGCCACTTATATGAGGTATCTAGAATAATCAAATTCACAGAAACAAAGTAAAATAGTGATTGACAGAGGCTGGGGGGAGGGGGAATGGAGAGTTACTTAAAGAGTATAAAGTTTCAGTTTTGCAAGATAAATGCTAGAGATTGCACAACAATGCAAACATTACTCAATTTAAAAATGGTTAACACAGTAAATTTTACGTAATGTGAATTTTACCACAATTAAAAAATTTTTAAATATACTGATTAATGTGACATATTATACAAGACTAAACAACTAAAGATAACACTGCAAACTGTTAAAGTAGAAAACATAGGTCTTTTTAATCCCCTATATCTTTTTCCCATGACTTTCTAACATCCTTTACTGGGCCTCATACTTATCTCCACATGTGAGTTAAAGATGTTTCACGCTTCATCCTAATTACCCAGCACCCTTCAATTTTCTAAAACAGTAATCAAAACTCTATAATAATTAATCAACCCAAAAGTTTTAAAATACATCTGTAAGTAAATCTAAGTATTTCACAGAAATTGTGCACCAACCATATGCTTACTACCTTGAGCTGCTTAACTTGTAAAAATATATTGATCAAAGAAATTACAAGATAACCAAAATTATTTTAAAAACATAACTTCTCACTGGCTGCATTTACACACAAGTTAGAAATCAAGAAAGACACTTTTGCTAAATAAAATCATCTTACCAAAAGCTGTGGCCACATTTCGTCATGTATGCTTCCTCAATCATATCAAAGCAGATAGGGCTAAAAAGAAAATGGAAAATTTTTTCAGTAGAGTGATTATAAATTGACAAGGCTGGTTAACAATATCAACAAAATCATTTATCAATAACATAGCTAGTCTTCAAACATCTATCAAGAATTTCTGTTGAGTTATAGGTGCTTTAGGGGATTGGTGGTAAGACAACAATTTATTCAAGAAGCCCTAACAGTCATCAAGCTCAGGAATCCCTGGGTGGCTCAGCGGTTTAGCGCCTGCCTTTGGCCCAGGGCGTGATCCTGGAGTCCCCGGAACAAGTCCCACATAGGGCTCCCTGCATGGAGCCTGCTTCTCCCTCTGCCTGTGTCTCTCTGCCTCTCTCTCTCTCTCTCTCTCTCTCTCTCTCTCTCTGTCTTTCATGAATAAATAAAATCTTTAAAAATTTAAATAAACAAATAAATATAAAAAAATAAGTCATCAAGCTTTAAGATAAATTAAATGAGTAAATTAAAATGGCCCCAGTACTTTTACACATCCATAGTCACAAGAGTCCTTAAAGTTCCATGCAATAATGCATATTTTAATAATACAGTATTGCAATACAGTCACAAGTAGTCCTTAGAGTTCTACCATCTTTTTCAACTATCCCTGTACTTAAAAGCACCTAATCCAAATGCTATTTCATTTATTTTAAAAAACTAGCTCCCTAAGTTTATAAATTACAATTCCAATATCAATAACTCTTCTATATAATGAAGATAGTAAATTATAACTAATACTTAAAATAGTACAATTTAAAAATGATATATATTAACTCCTTTAATCTTTTCAACAAAGGGTTTGTAGGTACATATTACTAAACACATTTAATAGAGGCAAATTAAGGCACAAAGATTTTACAGTTATAAAGTTAGATGATTACATACACACAGTTAAATGATTATGATTTTCAAACTTAGGTCTATGCTCTTAACCACCATTCTATGCTAATTCCAGATACAATGAGTTAAATACCAAGTCATACCAATATAGTTCTGGCCAACAAAAAGTAGTTATTAATCACGGAGAGACCACTATCTACCAGAAAAATACAAAGTCTTATAAAGATATTTCCATTTATCTTTCTTTTCCGGGATCCCTGGGTGGCGCAGCGGTTTGGCGCCTGCCTTTGGCCCAGGGCGCGATCCTGGAGACCCGGGATCGAATCCCACGTCGGGCTTCCGGTGCATGGAGCCTGCTTCTCCCTCTGCCTGTGTCTCTGCCTCTCTCTCTCTCTGTGACTATCATAAATAAATAAAAATTAAAAAAAAAAAAGAAGTATCTTTCTTTTCCTACTGAAAACTCTGATGAAGTCTCCATAGAGAAAATAGCCATCTCTTATTTTTTATTTTTTAGGATTTGTTTGAGAGAGAGAGCGAAAAAAAGTGGGGGCAGAGGGAGAGAGAAGGAAAATAAAAGCAGATTCCCCACTGAGTGCAAAGCCTAACAAAGGGCTCAATCCCAGAATGCTAAATAAGATCATGATCTGAGCCAAATCAAGAATCAGCCACTTAACTGATGGGGCCAGCCAGGCACTCCACAATAGCCATCTTCTGACCACGAAGATAAAAACCATAAGCTAGGAATATAGGTTCCTTGATGACACCCTTAAGCAGCTGCATCATCTATGGACCGCCTACCTCTGGACTTGAAATTACATGAGAAAAGTAAATCTTCACTTGCTTAAAGCAGTATTTATCAAGTTTTCTGTTACTGGCATACATATCCAATCCTTATTAATGATACATTTAAATTATAAAATGAAAATTCACTCATTTCTTCAAGAAAAATTTCCTGGGCATAAATACTATCTTAGAATATGAAATCATAAAAATAGTTATAAAATCCCAATGTTGCACAAGCTCAGAGTTTTACCACATATAGTGAGTTGGCTTAGACTGTGTTGGTTTTGTCAGCCTTTACTCTGCTGGATTTAGAAAAAAAGGAGGTCCACTAAACATGGAGATGTGGTAATTTCTCTTTTGAAACAAAGTTCATCTTGTTCCTGCTTGATGGAGTTCAGGCTACAGTTCCCTCCTAACAGCATGTGGATGAGCTATGTAAACTGCTCTGTGAGCCCAGTTTGTGGCTGAAGGGTGCTGAAGAACAGATCTGGGAAGGACAGATTTTACTTTATATGTACAGTTGGCTACTGGGTACTCAGGCAGATGTCTTAAGGCTCAAAACCCAGAGTGGAAGCAACATTTACATGTTCCGCTTTTAATTAAAGACCTTTTTTAGAGTAGTTTTAGGTTCACAACAAAATTGAAAGGAAGATACAGAGATTTCCCATATATTTGATGTCCTAAACATATGCATATCTTTTGCCATTATCAACATCACTCACCAGAATGGTATACTTTGCCCCAAAGATGAATTTACACTGACACATCACAATTACAAAGTCCACACTTTACCTTAAGATTCACTCTTCATATTGTACATTCTATGTGTTTGAACCAAAGCATATTGATATATAATCATTATAATAAAAAGATTATTTTTCACTGGCCTAAAAATCCTCTTGCTCTGCCTACTCCTCTCTCTCTCCTCGTCCACAATCACTGATCTTTTGACTGTCTCCAGTTGTGTCTACTTTAGAATGTCATAGAGTTGGGATCATACAGTATGTAGCCTTTTCAGATTGGCTTCTTCCATTTTGTAATATGGCTTTAAGATTTCTCTGTATCTTTTCAAGGCTTGATAGCTCATTTCTTCTTAATGCTGAATAATGTTCATTGTCTGAATGTACCACACTGTATTTATCCATTCACCTTCTAAAGAACTTCTTGGTTGCTCCAAGATTTGGGAATTATAAATAAGCTGTTATAAGCATCCAATGGCAGGTTTCTGTGTATTTATAAGCTTTCAACTCCTTTGGGTAAATACCAATGGGTAACAACAAAATTTGTATGGTAAAAGTATGTTTAGTTTTGTAAGAGACCACCAAACTGTCTTCCAAAAGGTGCCAGTACCATTTTTTCATTCCTATCAGCAAAGAGCTAGACTTCCTGTTGCTTCCTATTCTCCTCAGCAACTGGTGTAGTCAGTCCTCTAAATTATAACCATTCTAAAAGGTGTATATTAATACCTCATTGTTTTGATTTGCATTTTCCTGATGACATACGATATGGAACATAATGTTTTCATATGCTTATTTGCTATCGATGTATCTTTGGTGAGGTATATGTTGAAGTCTTTGATTCATTTTTTTAATCAGGTTGTTTTCTTACTGTTCAGTTTTAAGGGTTCTTTGTATATTTTAGATAAAAGTTTTTTATGAGATATGTCTTATACAAATATATTCTCCTGAGCTGTGGCTAATCCTTCCATTCTCTTAACAGTATCTCTCACAGAGCAGAAATTTTTAATTCTAGGGCAGCCCGGGTGGCTCAGCGGTTTGGTGCCGCCTTCAGCCCAGGGCCTGATCCTGGAGTTCCAGGATCAAGTCCCACATCAGCCTCCCTACATGGAGCCTGCTTCTCCCTCTGCCTGTGTCTCTGCCTCTCTCTCTCTTTGTCTCTATGAATAAATAAATAAAATCTTTTAAAAACGAAAAGAAATTTTTAAAGAAATTCCATTTATTGCTCCTTTTTATAGATCATGCCTTTAGTGTTCCACCTAAAAACTCATAACCAAATTCAAAGTCATCTAGATTTCCCCTATGTTATCTTCTAGGAGTTTTACAGTTTTGCATTTTACACTTAGGTCTGTGATGCATTTTTAGCTGATTTTAGTGAATGGTATAAGGTCTTGTGTATAGATTCTTTTTTTTTTTTTACATGTAGATGTCCAGTTATTTCAGCATCATTTATTAAAAAGACCATCTTGGGGGATCCCTGGGTGGCACAGCGGTTTGGCGCCTGCCTTTGGCCCAGGGCGCGATCCTGGAGACCCGGGATCGAATCCCACGTCGGGCTCCTGGTGCATGGAGCCTGCTTCTCCCTCTGCCTGTGTGTCTCTGCCTCTCTCTCTCTCTCTCTCTCTCTCTCTCTCTCTCTCTGTGTGTGTGTGTCTCTCATGAAAAATAAATGAAATTTTTAAAAATTTATATTAAGAGCATCTTTGGGGGATCCCTGGGTGGGTCAGTGGTTTGGTGCTTGCCTTTGGCCCAGGGCACGTGATCCTGGAGTCCCGGGATCGAGTCCCACATCAGGCTCTCTGTATGGAGCCTGCTTCTCCCTCTGCCTATGTCTCTGCCTCTCTGCCTCTCTGCCTCTCTCTCTCTCTCTCTCTCTCTCTGTCTGTCTCATGAATAAAATCTTTTAAAATTAATCAATTAATCAATTAATAATTATTTATATTTACATAAATATAAATGTTTATATTTATACAAGTAATTGTTTTATTTATGTTTATATATTTATTAAAATATTTATGTTTATTTTTATATTTATGAAAATATAAATATTTTATTTACATTTATATTTTATATAAATAAATAAATGGGATGAATGAATGAATGAATGAATGAATGGACCATCTTTTCTCTCTCTCTCTCTTTCTAGTAGGTAGTAAGGTTGGTAGAACTCACAACCCAAGGTCAAGACCTGAGCTGAGATCAAGAATAGGAAGGATGCTTAACCGAATGAGCCACCCAAGCGCCTAAAAAAACTCTTTTTTGTATTATCTTTGTCAAAGATCAGTTAACTATATTGGTCTATTTTGGAGTTCTCCATTCTTTACTACTTGATCTGCTTATTCTTTCTCTAATACCATACTGTCAATTACTTCATATGGCATTTTGGTTTTTAAAAAAAAAAAAATGTCTCTCTGAGTGAAACTCTGTAGTCCCTACCTACACTGATTAATTTCTAAAACTCAATTGTTACATACACAGTAGCAAATATCCAAATTTTCTACCACAGAAGGTCTAGATATTAACATACCAACCTTTTAAATGGCTCTTCTAATAAAGCATTTTTAAGATTTGAAGAAAAAGATATTTCTGTTCCCTAAGTAAATATGTTTATAAGTTTACGTGAAAATACCATCACATCTCTGT